CAACAGTTTTTCACCATTATTTTCTTCATCATCCTCTTCTTCATCATCCTCTTCAACACCAACAACAACAACTCGGGCGATCATACTGCAGCTATTAATATTAACGACCTTCCGTGCTCCCGTCAAATTTTCTAATGAACATCTACTGAAAAATAATTTAAAAAAATAACAACAACAACAACAACAATATTAATAATAATAATAATAATATTAATAATAATAAGAAGAAGAATAATAACAACAAAAACAATAATAATAATTATAATACTCTTTTAGTATTTTATATATAGAAGCACAAACAATAAGCAGTGTATATAATTACATGCAAACTTCAATTATTCACAGATATTTTTACATGATTTTCCACGCAAATCTATATATAGATGGATTTCAACTAATTATATTCTAAATATACGGAATTTATTTTTAGAAATCATGTAATGGCTAAAAATAGCAGCCAATAAAATTTGATGTGAAAATGTGAAAATGACTTTCCATGAGCTTGCACGTGTCCGTCTTTTAACTGAATTTTTAATTTCTATTGAGGAGACATTAAAAATCAGATGACTCAAATAAAAAATTTCTTTGAAAAAATTCAGTTTCGAAACTGATTTTTCACTTTTCAGGCCATCCTCAACATCATTGTCATCATCTTTGCAAAAATCATCATCATTGTTATTATCGTCATAATCATTTTCACATCACCAGCACCATCATCATCGCCACGCCATCATCATCGCCATCATCATCCTTCCATACTCTGTGGCGGCAGTCTCCATCTTATTACGAGGCAAAAGAAAGCGCCGCGAAGCCGATGCTAGAATCATATTTCACATTTAATGATCATTGGCAGTGGCGACATCTTCTTCACTCACGTCATCATCGTCATGTCTTTCGTCACAGGCATCTCATTATCGTCGTCATCATCTCTATAACTTTTTTCTCCTCGTTTCACCGCGATTATCATCATCCTTTTCCATCTTCCTCCAGCTTCATCACCACAATCGATTTTTTTTCTTCCTTACGACACCATCTATTTTTTACAGCATCATCGTTGTTGTTATCATCTTTATCATCATATCATCATCACTTTATTAATTTCCCTATCGCCATTTTCAAAATTTTCACGGTCATCATCGTCGTCGTCATCATCAAAACCAACATCCGTCCATGCATTCCATGTTATTATCTTCTTCTTCGCAATACTAAATTTTGTTTTTTCAACAAAGTTAGATACATCAATACTTTCATTATCGTCGTTGCCATCTTCTTTCTTTTCCTCCTCTTCACCATCATCTTCACCATCATCTTCATCATCATCATCAGTAGCATCAGCATCAACATCATCGCCATTTTTGCTGTGGTCTTTGTCACCATCATCATCGTCATCATTAAATCATAGAATCGCCATCATCATTGTTCATATCATCAATAACACTATATATACGTGAATCACCATTAAAGCCTAAAACATCGTCATTATCATTGCCATCGTTATAGTTATTGTTATCATCATTATCATATAATTTTCAAGTTTAAAGCAAACAAAAACAGAACATAGAAAAAAATTGAAAAAAAAATTTGAAGTGAGAATGAAAATAGCAGAGAAAGGAGGAAATGAGAATGAAAAAAGTCAGAAGGGGAAAAAATGTTGCGTTATGCAAACGTATCATCGCATGCGGCTCTCACCTCACTCCAACTGTTTACATTGATGTCTCGCAAATATT